AAGAGGAATCACAGCAGGAACTCAAGGCAACAGCCTGAAGGCAGTGACTGAAGCAGAGGCCATGAAGGGCTGCTGCTTACTGGCTTGCTCTCTTGTACACCTTAGGACTGCCTCCCTGGGTCCCACCACCCACACTGGGATGGATCCTCCAACATCCATCATTAATCAAAACAATGCCCATAGACCAATCTTAGAAGGCATTCTCTTAATTAAGATCCCCACTTCTCTGATAGGTCTAGCTTTGTCCCAAGTTGACAAAACCCAACCAGGACATGTGTCCCACTTGTAGGAAAGGAAAATGACACAGCTACTATGGAAAACATTACGCTAGTTCCTCAAAAAGATTCATCAATAACGTTTTTTCTATTTAGAAAAAAAAGGCATTCAAAAGATACTGGGTGCTTTTCTGTCACCAAGTATCCTTCTAAGAGTAACATCATCTCGACACTGTGTGGTACTCTCTGATACAGTGTTGTGAAGCCCAGGAAAGACAAAATGTCCTGGAAGCCCAAAAACTTTCTTTTCTTTCTTGTTATTGAAACCATTTATTTACTTACTTATGAATAGGCTTATCATTTGGTCCAGCTATTCTAATTTTAGGTATATGCCCATAGGCATTTACAGCAAAGACTCAAATGGTTATCTGTGCTCACGTATCCATAAGAGTCAAAAAGAGAACCCAAGCACCCATCAAAGGAAGAATGGGTAAAATACAACATAAGCATACAGTAAAATATTGCTTAACCTTAAAAAGGAAAGATAGGCTGACATATGCTACAATATGAATGAACCTTAAAGAAACTGTGTTGAAGTGAACTAAGGCAGTCACAAAAAAAAACTAAATTATGAGTCCACTGAATAGAAATGCCTAGAATAGTAATATTCTTAGAAACAGAAAACAGAAATGTGGCTGTTAGTGAGGGGGAGAAGAGAAGGGGAGAGGAGGACTTGGGGGAGCAGGAAAGTTGAGCTGGGGAATAGAGGAGAGACACCATGATAGAGGGAGTCATTATAGGTTTGAGGGGAGATCTGGTACTAATGAGATTTCCAGAGATCTACAAGGATGACACCAACTGGCAATCTAAGCAAGAGTGGAGAGGCTACCTTAAATGCCCTTCCCTGATAATGAGATTGACGACTACCTTGTATGCCATCCTAGAGTGTTCATCCAGTGGCTGATGGAAGCAGAGGCAGTCACCCACAGCTAAACACTGAACTCCTGGAAACCAGATGCAGAAAGGGAGGAATGATGAGCAAAGGGGTCATGACCGGGCAGGTGAAACTCACTGAAACAGCTGACCTGAACAAGGGGGGAGCTCATGGACCCCATACTGATGGCTGTATTGAAGTGAACTAAGGCAGTCACAAAAAGAAAACTAAATTATGAGTCCACTGAATATAAATGCCTAGACTGATTCAGACACCTTGAACATGGGTGTCAGTGAGGAGGCCTCGGCAATCTTTGGAGCCTGGGATAGTAGATCAGTATTTATCCCTGGTGTACAAATGGACTTTGAGAGCCCATTCCACATGGAGAGATGCTCTCTCAGCCTGGACACATGGGGGAGGGCCTAGGCCCTGCCCTGGATGATATGACAGACTTTGGAGATCCCCCATGAAGGGTTTCACCCTCCCTGGAGTAGGGATTAGGTAGGGGACTGGGGGGTTTGGTGGGGGCGGGGGAGGAGGGGAGGGAGAGGGAGCTGGGACTGACATGTGAAGCAAGCTTGTTTCTAATTTAAATTAATAAATAAAATTAAAAAAAAGAAATGTGTTGCCGGGCGGTGGTGACGCATGCCTTTAGTCCCAGCACTTGGGAGGCAGAGGCAGGCGGATCTCTGTGAGTTCGAGGCTGGGCTGGACCGACAGCCTCGAAAACAATACAGAGAAACCCTGTCTCATAAAACCAAAAAAAAGAAAAAAAAGAAAAAAAAAAAAGAAATGTGGCTTTAAAGGGCTAGGACAAAAGAGAAATGGGAAGTTATTTCCACTATGCTTCATTGGCACAAAGTTTCAACTTAGAAAGAAAATAAAAGTTCTAAAGATGGTAATGGCTGCACAATATGAATTATTTAATGTCCCTGAACTAAGCATGTAAGAATGGTTAAGGAGTTTAAGCCTGGCCAAGGCTAATCTATAGAGCAAGTTCCAGGACAGCCAGGGTTACACAGAGAAACCCTGTCTCAAAAATAAAAAAAGTTAAGGAGTTTAATTTTATATATTGTACTGCAAGGATGCCTTCATGAACTCATAGCAACTATATGGTAGCCTGCCCAAAAGCCATGCAAGATCAAGCCAGTCAACATTTTAGCATGGGGTTCATGAACCCCACCCCACCCCAATTGAAGAGCTGTGGATAGCTGATGCCTTAGAAGAGAAGAAGAGTAAATTTCCTTTAAAAGTGTGTCTCTTGCCAGGGTGGTGGCGCATGTCTTTAATCTCAGTACTCAGGAGGCAGAGGCAGGTGAATCTTTGTGAGTTTGAGGTCAGTATGGTCTACAAAGCTACACAGACAGAGAAACCCTGTCATGAAAAACCACAAAAGTTTTTATTTTTCGTAGGTTGGCCACACTCCAGTGATGGATTGCCCTACACCTAGGAGTATCTGGATGTCACAAATTGGAGTCAATGGACACAAAGTTGGTGGACTAGGGTGGTGGGGTGGATCTGGGAGTAGTTCAAGGGAGGAATTGAGGGGTGTATATGTTTACAATACAGTGTATGAAATTTTCAAATTCATGAAAATGCTAAAACGAAATAAAACAAAAACAGGTCTTTTAGGGTTAAACAATGTCTATAACTACCTGAAATAACCTGATGTAACATTTTCATAGAATTTCCTATTTTATAATTTAATTGTTTTTTAAAACGTAAGGTAATTTAGATCCAATGGACCAAGGATATGGCTGCTTGTTGATGGCAGGAGGCAGTGTAATGTAAGGAAAATGTGACAGGTCATTCTGGAATTTTCTACTTAGCATGCCTTGCAAAATGAATGAAAACAAACCTAGTTTCTACCCACACAAAAGTGATGACTGGGGCCGGGCGTTGGTGGTGCATGCCTTTAATCCCAGCACTTGGGAGGCAGAGGCAGGTGGATCTCTGTGAGTTCGAGGTCAGCCTGGTCTACAAGAGCTAGTTCCAGGACAGCCTCAAAAGCCACAGAGAAACCCTGTCTCGAAAAACCAAAAAAAAAAAAAGTGATGACTGTTGCTGGTAGTAGTGGCACATGCCTTTAATCCCAGCACTCGGGAAGCAGAGGAAGGCAGATCTCTGTGGGTTCAAGACCAGCATGGTCTACAAGAGCTAGTTCTAGGAAAGTCTCCAAAGCTACACAGAAAAACTCTGTCTCAAAAAACCAAAAAGAAAAAAATTTTAAAAAGAATATTCATAGGCCAGACAGTGGTGGTGCATGCCTTTAGTTCCAGTACTGGGGAGGCAGAGGCAGGAGGATCTTAATGAGTTCCAGGGCAGGCTCCAAAGCTACAGAGAAACCCTGTCTCAAAAAACAAAAACAAACAGAAAAGAATGTTCAATTTTGGAGTTGGATTAAAATTAAAGCAATCTTTTAAACAATTCATACAAAGAATTTTTAGTTTTCCATATATTCTACAATAAGGGCATCTTTGAGAAAGCTGTGCTGAGAATAGGAATTTATAATCCTAAAAAGAAGCATTTTTCTAATAGAGGGAAATGCTACCAGAGCCTCTGTAGCTATGAGTACTGTGATGTCCAAAGAAGTACTTACAGAGCAGGACGAGACTATAATGTACCTCACAGCAATGGGGAAGGAAGAGCTGCCAGTGTAGAACTCTAGCAAACACCTTTAGTCTGCATCTCTGTATGACCATCAAAACACAAACGGCAGTGTAGAGATGTGAACCACAGTCCCAGTGTCCACAAAGCCAAAATCCATGCATTACCCAACTTGAGTGTGTTAAGCACACAACACATTATTGAAAGGTTCATCGTTCAATTGCCTGGGCACCTGGAGTTCAGTAAAAATCTACTGAGGTGAAGCAACAAGTCTCCAAGAGATATTTCAACTATGCTGGTAAGAGACCCACACACACTGTAACAGTGCCTTAGATGAATTCAGAAATAAAAAATTTAATTCATATGCAGTTGAAATGGCCTATCTTAATGAAAATAATAATTCTGAAAGAAAACATCCAATATCAGAGCAAGAATTTCTAGTCTTTTACACCTTTGTCCTTGTCAAAGAACACACCTTAAATCTGAAGCTCTGAAAGACAGTCTCTACTCTGAAGCTGGCAGAATGTTTAACCTTCCTTTGGCTTATGGCACTCATCTACTGGTTCCTTTGTTAGTTGGCTGGTTTATTTCTGTTTTTTTTTTTTTGTTGGTGGTGGTGGTGGTAGTGGTAGTGTTGTCACCTTCCTTCCTTCCTTCCCTCCTTCCCTCCCCTTCTCACTCCCTCTCTTCCTCCCTCCCTCCCTTCCTTTCTTTTCTTTCTTTCTGAGACAGGGTCTTCTATAGCTCAGGCTGGTCTCAAATTCACTACGTAGTAGAGGATGGCAGGAACTCCTGACCCTCTTGCCTCCACTCTCCAACTGCTGGGATTATAGACAATCACCATCATGTCTGTCTAAAACTATGTTTTTCTTGTTTGTGGACCAGAAAATAACCACCCAATTGTAGATGGTGTTTCATACACTGATACCAATTTCAATCATGGCAAATGCTGCAACAGACATGCCTGCTTTAAACTTGATAGTAAATGAATGAGCTCACTAGCTATCTAAAGCTACAGCAGCATTAAGGGATGAATATATGCTGATAAAGGAATACTTGTCTAGCTTGAAATGTGAGTCAAAGTGACTCTTCAGACTTTTAAGCAGAGTCTAAAAACTTTAAGCAAAAACATTTGGTAACATCCCCTGCCACAAATATGATACTCTACAAAAATCTAGTGGTTTTCTTATAGTGCACATGTTGTCAGACATACAAGCTTTAAGTCATTTTAAAGAGTTACTTACAAACCACGGAAGACAACAAAAGTCATCCTTCTCTTTGCAGCTGGATGCAGTTCTGCTGGGTTTGACTCACTCCTTTAGTTGAGAGTCTCTATAAGGCTTCTCCTGTTGGGAACCAGTGATTGAATGTGAGTCCTGCTTAGTTGTTTCTGTGGGGTGTGTTCTTCTGGTGTCCTCCACCCCTCTGACTTCTATAATCCTTCTTCCCCATCTTCCATGGGTCTCTGCATCTGCTTCTATCAACTTCTATCATCTGCTTCTATCAACTGCTGGAGGAAGCCTTTCTGATGATGATTGGGCTAGGCACTCATCTATGAGTATAGCATAATATAATTAGGAATCATTTCATTGACTTTTTTGTCAATCATATTTGGTTCAACTCTACATCTCTGGGCCATCCTACTTCTGGTTCTTGGCCATCCAGGCATAGACTCCTCTCATGGTTTGGTCCTCAAGTTAGACCATCGTTGGTCTAACTCACACAAGCTCTGAGACACCATTGCCCCAGCACATTTCGAAGGCAGGACAGGTTGTAGGTCAAAAGTTTTGTGGCTGGTTTGGTGTCCTTGTCCCACCACAGGAACACTTGCCAGGTTGCAGAAGCTAACTATAGAGGTTCTGTGATGGCTATTTTTGGCTGTCAACTTGACTACACCTGGAATGATCTACAAGGAAGAAATAGAGGGCACACCTGTGATCTGGATCTTGAGGCAGGTAGATACAGGCTTTTGATCTGAATCTTGAGGTGTGATGACACAGGCCTTTAATCTGATCTTGAGGCAGAATGACACACGCCTTTAATCCAGATCTTGAGGCACACCATTAATCTGGGCCACACTCTCTGCTGGAAGCCTGTATAAGGACAATAGAAGAAGGAAGCGTTCGTTCTTCATCTGCCTTCCCTCGCCTTGCCAGCACATCCGTTCCTTCACTGGCATTGGAGCCTGCTTCTTTGGGTGGGATTTCAGAATATACAGAAGCCCAGCTGAGACACCAGTCTGGTGGACTGAGCAGCAACTAGATTCCTGGACTTTCCGTTCACTGCTACCCATTGTTGGACTGCAGTATCTGAGTCATTCCAATAAACACACACACACACACACACACACACACACACACAGAGGGGGGAGGGAGGAGGGGGGAGGAGGGGAGGGGAAGAGAGACAGAAACAGAGATTCATTCCATAAATTCTGTGACTCTAGAGAACCTTGACTAACACAGGCTCCCTGTCCCCCATTACTAGGAGTCCTCACCAGGGTCACCCTCATAGGTTCCAGGAAGTTTCCACTGTACTGGGTTTCCACATTGCCCCCTATTCCAGTCATCTCTCCTCATACTCTGTCCCTCTGTCCCCCATCCCTCACCTAGTCTTTCCTGTTCCCATTCCCACCCACAAAATCTATTCTTCTGCCCCTGTCCCAGGGAGATCCTAAGTCCCCTCCACCCCCACCCCAGCCTGAGCCCACCTTGTTACTTAGTCTCTCTGGGTCTGTGGGTTGTATCATGATTATCCTTTACTTAACAGCCAATATCTACTTACAAATGAGTACACGTCAAGTTTGTCTTTCTGAGTCTGAGTTGCCTCTCCCGGGATGATTTTTTTCTAGTTCCGTTCATTTGCCTGCAAATTTCATGATATCGGGTTTTTTTTCCTAAAAGTTGAATAATGCTCCATTATGTGAATGTACCACATTTCCTTTATGTATTCTTTGAGGAAAAATATAGGTTGTTTCCAGTTTCTGCCTATTATAAATAAAGTCACTATGAACATAGTTGAGCAAGTGTCCTTGTGGTATGATTGAGCATTCTTTGAGTATATGCCCAAGAGTGGTATCTGTGGGTCTTGGGGTAGATGGATTCCCGATTATCTGATGAACCGCCATATTGATTTCCATAGCAGCTGTACAGGCTTGCACTCCCACCAGCAGTGGAGGAGTGTTTTTTTCCTTGTTCTATATTCCTCACCGGCATGAGCTGTCACCTGTGTTACTGATCTTAGTCATTCTGACAAGAGTTAAGACAGTTTCTTGATCCAATAAAATTCATCATATCATATAAAAGGAATTTTTAGTCATTTAAGAAAAAAAGTTACATTGTCATTGTGTTCTAATCAAAACTGGTAGGGTTTTTTAGTCTTCTTAATATATATATTTCATAGATCTCAATATTGATTCTTTGGAACAAATTATGAGTTCATTCACTTATATTAGCAGCATGACATACGTAATAAAACCGTATTACTTAAAAATTTTTATAAATTAGGATTTCCTATGTGCTACTATACTGTTTTTTTTGTTGTTGTTGTTGTTTTTGTTTTTGTTTTTTTGTCAACTCCCGCACGAACTTATATATCTGGAAACGGAAATCCTAACTGAGAAAAATGTCTCCATAATATTGGCCTGTAGGCAAGTCTGTAGGGCCTTTTCTTGGCCAATGATTGTGGGTGGTGCCATTACTGGGTAGATGGCACTGACCATACAAGGAAGCAAGCTTCGAGCAAGCAAGCCACGAGCAGCATCAAGTGGCAAGCCATGAAGCAAGCCAGTAAGTGGCCCTCCTCCATGGCCTCAGCTTCCATTCCTGCCTCCAGGCCCCAGCCCTGACTTCCTTAGATGATGAACTGTAAGCTGGAAGTAACCCTTTCCTCCCCAAGTTTGTTTTGGTCATGGTGTTTATCGGAGCAACATAAACCCAAACTAAGACAGAAATTACAATTATTCTAGTTTGTATAACTTAAAAATTATTTTAGAAAACTAGATAGAAAAGTTAACTGGTTAGATTCTGTTACATATATTTTTTTCCAGACAAGGTTTCTCTGTATTGTTTTTTGGAGCCTGTCCTGGAACTCACCATGTTGGACTCAAATTCAGAGATCCTCCTGCCTCTGCTTCCTGAGTGCTGGGACTAAAGGTGTGCGCCACCAACGCCCAGCGCTGTTACATACATCTGAAGCATATATTCTGAGATATGTATTTATTGCTTATGTTTCTAGGGTGAAACTGATTTTAAACATGTACAAGGCTGTTGATTTATATTATTATATTAAAATGACCAGGACTGCAATTAGATTGTTTCTAAGGGGAAGTATTTTTAAAGATATATTTATTTATTATATATACAGTGTTCTGTCTGCATATTTGCCTGCAGGCCAGAAGGCACATCTTATTACATGATCATGAGCCACCATATGGTTGCTAGAACTTGAACTCAGGACCTCTGGAAGAGCGGTCAGTGCTCTTAACCTCTGAGCCATCTCTCTAGCCCAAGAGAAAATATTATACACAGAGCAAAACTACAAAAATATTCTAGACTTTCTGGCTATCCTTGAGATTTAAGAAAACTTCTGAGATAGATAAAATGTAGCTGAAAATATATTGTAAAGTCTATCAGTTTTAAAGCTTAGGTTTTAATTGTAAGATTTTGTCTCTGGACACTGTATGGAGTATTCAGAATGTCTTCTCCATAATCTTTAGGTATGTGAATAACTTCTGTGAATGCCATCTGGTAGGTTTCACTATTTGAGATTTACTACAAGGCTGACACCATAACATCACATACTTACCTTCTATGACTTTAAAAGATGTTATTATCTAAACAACATATAAAGTAAAAAGGAAATGCAAATAGTTTAAAAACCCACTCCAATCTTGCCTTGCAGCGATCATTTATAAACTCTCGGTCTTTTCTTTCCTCTGTCTCTGTCTCTGTCTCTGTTTCTGTCTCGTCTCCTCTCTTTCTCTCTCTCTCTCTCCTCTCTCTCTCTCCTCTCTCTCTCTCCTCTCTCTCTCTCTCTCTCTCTCTCTCTCTCTCTCTCTCTCTCTCTCTCTCTCTCTCTCTCTCTCTCTCTCTCTCTCTCTCTCTCTCTCTCTCTCTCTCTCTCTCTCTCTCTCTCTCTCTCTCTCTCTCTCTCTCTCTCTCTCTCTCTCTCTCTCTCTCTCTCTCTCTCTCTCTCTCTCTCTCTCTCTCTCTCTCTCTCTCTCTCTCTGTTTTGAAAACAGGGTTTCTCTGTAGCCCTGGCTGTCCTGGAACTTGCTTCGTAGACCAGGATGGCCACAAACTCACAGGAATTCCCCTACCTCTGCCTCCTCAGTGCTGGAATTAAAGGTGTGTACCACCACTGCCTGGAAGGTTTTCCTTATTTTTAAACTTCATTAATATTAAAAAATACCAAGAAACCATGTGATAACAATTTACAGATATATCTGTATTTGTATTCCTACAAAAGAAAAATGGAAAAATTTAATGTCCATTTATCAATTATAAATAAGACAAAACCAATTTTACAAGAAAATAGGCAAATCATTATAGCAGGTTAAAAAAAACTTGTTTTGCATGAGACAGGATCTTATTCTATAGTCAAGGTTGGCCTTTAACTCACTTTATAGCCTAAGCTATTCAAGAACTCATGGCAATCCTCCTGCCTCAGTCCCCCTAGTGCTGGAATTACAAGTATGTGCCACCACATCTTCTGTATTTGTAGAATGTCTTAACCACATTTCTCCTGACACACAGCAGCTATTGTCATATTCTCATCCTCTCTAGGAAATATTCTTATTGCTATGTATTTCTTAAATGACAAGATTGACTTGACATTACCTCTCTTAACACAAAAGGAAAACCAGTTGTAATGTAATTTCCTTGTTACTTCATATCTTTTCCAAGTAATACTCACCAACAGAGGTAATAAATTCAAGTTTTACTTTAAGTATTTAATGACAGGGCTAGAGAGACAACTCAACTGCTCTTGCAGAAGACTTAAGTTTGGTTCCCAGGAGCCTTGTCAGATGACTTACCACCACCTTTTATCTCCAGTTTCAGGGGAATCCAACACTCTCTTCTGGTCTCCGTGGGCATTCACACGTGTGTGCATACACACAGACACACACACACACACACACGCATGCACACACATAAATAAAAATAAAATATATTTAATGAGATTAAGTCAGTTGTGTTAAACCTATTGGGTTATGAAAAGTATTATTTAAAATTATTAAATAATATCAAAAGTTTTTATTTACAAGTTTTAGGTCCACCATATCTTTTATTCCAAATTTACAACAGAAGACTTTAATTATGCATACAGCACCAGAGGGTTAGAGTCCACGATGGTGGGGCAAATGTATGATGGCATGAACAGCTGAGAGAGTTCACATCTTGAACTGCAAGCAGCAGGCAAAGAGAGCACACTGGGAATAGTGTGGGCTTTTGAACTTCAAAGCCTGTCCCCAGTGGCACACTCCATCCAACAAGGTAACACCTCCTAACCCTTCCCAAGTAGTCCACCACCTTGGGACCACGTATTCCAATACATGAGCCTGTGAGGACCACATATTCCAACACATGAGCATGTGAGGACCAGGTATTCCAACACAGGAGCCTGTGAGGACCACGTATCCCAACACATGAGCCTGTGAGGACCACGTATTCCAACACAGGAGCCTGTGAGTACCACATATTCCAACACAGGAGCCTGTGAGGACCACGTATTCCAACACATGAGCATGTGAGGACCACGTATTCCAACACATGAGCAAGTGAGGACCACGTATTCCAACACATGAGCAAGTGAGGACCACGTATTCCAACACATGAGCCTGTGAGGACCACGTATTCCAACACATGAGCCTGTGGGGACCACGTATTCCAACACAGGAGCCTGTGGGGACCACGTATTCCAACACATGAGCCTGTGGGGACCACGTATTCCAACACAGGAGCCTGTGGGGACCACATATTCCAACACATGAGCCTGTGGGGACCACGTATTCCAACACAGGAGCCTGTGAGGACCACGTATTCCAACACATGAGCCTGTGGGGACCACGTATTCCAACACATGAGCC